GAAAAAAGTTGTTGTCCAAGAAAGGAAAAATTCCTACCAAATAACCACAGATCTACCATTTCATATCTCGGTTACATCTTTTTCTCAACGAAATTCCAGTAACATAAATGCATCGGATCTAAAATACGTCGAGAGAAGATTCACGCGAAAACTGTTACGTAGTTGTCTGAAAACAGGTTCGGATAAAACGTAAACTTGCTTGAATATCCGTTTCAACGCAGGCTCTTTTTCTATCTCTTTATTTATGGGCATCGCGAATGACGGTCTCTTGTCCGACGTGTTTTATACGCAGAATAAAAGAATGGCCACGTGATTGAATTCGATATTACCTGTAACTAAATTTCATATAAAAAGCGACATACAGAACACGTGAACGCATGAACCTCTGTCACAGTCGCTAGAATTTAAAGTCCATACAAATTTTGGGGACTTATGTCGAGGACTTATGTTGAGGACTTATGTTTATGTGTGATTCAAACTATTTAATACAGGGACTTTATGTGTGACTCAAACCATTTAATACAAGGTCTTTATGTGTGATTCAAAATATTTGTAAACTAATTTCTGCGAGAGTATACTCAGAGCCAAATTAAGTTGGATCGGAAATATTTTGAATAACTTAACACAAATTAATTCTGAGGTCCGGACTTTCCTAATTGTGTTTACCAAGATTGAATCAACATCTGGGGTTCATGGAAGCAGAAATACCGTGTTGATAAAAACGAATAATAAAACCTGTGCGAATTTATATGAGTTCCAGGCAGAGCACAATTAAGATTTTTTGCGTTACAAACCCTCTCTGAAGTGGGAATATCCCGAATAAATTATTGGTGGACATTTTATTTATCGGCACGTCTCTAAATAATAGAATTCCTGGAGAAATTTAAGCGGGTTCCAATGATTGAGTAAGATTTGTTGGAGTTCAGAATTTTACCAAAGTGGGGATATCCCGATTGGTGGAAATTTTACCTTGAAATCGGCACGTCCCCAAATAATAGAACCTCCAGATTTTAAGTGAGTTCCAAGCTGGAAGTAAGATTTGTTGGGATTCAGAACTTTACCAAAGTGGGAACATCCCGAATAACTTGGTGGAAATTTTACGTTGAAATCGGCACGTCCCCAAATAATAGAACCCCCAGATTTTAAGTGAGTTCCAAGCTGGAAGTAAGATTTGTTGGAATTCAGAATTTTACCAAAAAGGGAACATCGCGAATAACTTGGTGAAAAATTTACCTTGAAATCGGCACGTCCCCAAATAATAGAACCCCCAGATAAATTGAAGTAAGCTCCAAGGTTGAAATAAGATTTGGAATCCAGTACCTTATCAAAGTGGGGACATCCCGAACAATTTGTTAGTGCATCAATTCTGAAATCAGAACGTCCCTAAACAATATAACTCTGTAAAAGACTCGGTCTCAAGGATAATTTAATTTTGCTTAACCCCTTGACCTACAACATTAAATCAGACTCATGACGCACATTAAAGTTCAAATTCCACAAAATTAAATCGTATTTGCATAAATTCGAGTATGATACCAATTACAGTTTGCATAATTAAAGACCGTAAAATGCAAAGTACACTTAACATTTCAACATTGTTTATTCACCTGAACAGTAATAGGCAGCTCTGACCTACCGAAAAACTTATGGGCTACATACACCTTGCATGCACTAATGTTTAAAACATGCTAAGGTTTAAGTTCACGTGTTGACATGGTCTTTGCAGAAAATTTTCTAAACGAGAGTTGTAATCGAAAGTAAAACCAGCCACGTTTGATGAAGGAACAATGATCCGGTTCGTCGATCTTGACGTTCATTGATGACGGACTCGTACGATGTCTTAAAGGCGCCCTTACACTTGCTGGCAGCGTGAATGGCTGACCGGAAACAACGAGTTATGACACTTGACATGGAGTCTTAAACGCTTAAATGTGACCAAGCTACGTGATCGCATTGTGTTCACCATACGATGCAAACGTTTATGCTCGCGTCCGAAGCACGACCTGATTCTCCGTTGCACATTTTATGGGTTTTCTTCGAACGGGAAAATTACTGTGGTCAGAAACGAAGCTAGGATGGATTGTATTCGCTCGCGTGATATGGTCGTTTTACATCTTCAACTTGATTGAGATATACGATCGTGTTATGCTCTTTGGTGAAAAAAGAATACTTATTATTTTTAGAAATATTTCATTGGTGTAAGGACTTTTGGTATTTTAATTATCTGACGTTCCTAAGAAAATACAGTTTCAAATCTAACAGCTTGTAGGTCTAACTTTTAGGTCTTGAATTAGTTAATAGAAATAACTTGGAGGTACTGCCATAGATACCACAAAAAAATATCGTGAGGATATTTTTCGACTCACAGATTTATAAATGTAAATGAGATGTGTTTTCAAATTTTCTTCAAATATCATCTTAGAACTTTAGAATCTACCCATCAGTGATTGTCATCATTGTAGAATAAAGGATACACATTAATCCTTCAGTCAACTTAATCTTTTCAAATTATATTAATAATCTACCCATTTAAAAATACTACCTGATAATCTGAAATCCTTAAAATTAATTAGAATATACAGGAATCTTATTTCAGTAAAACTCGATTGTCAGTTAAATTTACGAGTTCCCAGGAAGTCCAAACTGAATCACCATCAATTCTAGTTTGCCGAGAATGCTGTTTGGCATAAATACTGTTCGTCCGTATAAATGTCGTAGTTTTCCAGTGAAACGAGAAGCGAGCAAGATTTCTCTCGATACCGATCGAATTTTTCTTCACCGACTGGAAACTCGTAAATCAGAAACAAGAGTCGAGACGTTCATCGAACGATCGGAGAATTTATTGCCTTGAAAGAGATTCCGATCATCCACGACAATCGGTACCTACCCGTGTACATTGACACTTTGTTCGTTCAACTGTGTCGTCTTCCAACACCAACTGCCCGTGAAATTTCCTTCCTTGCTATTCGACAAATTCGCACTTTCTCTCAGGCTACACTTATTATAGTACATTATCGAAGTTGCTCTAATTAAAATCGTTCTAAACTATGCTTGCACTATTATCTTTGCGAAAGACTATTGCGATATTACTGCGGTATTTTAAACTTGATACGTTTGAACTGTAGCTTTCGGAATTCGGTGAATTTGATATTTGAAAATTTGGAGTTATATTTTGGAGAATATTTGGAACATTGGCAATTTGAGAATTTGGGAATTTAGGGAGTTTGGGAATTCCAACATTTGAAAATTTGATAATTTAGTAATTTAGGAAATTTGGGATTGATTTAGAGATTTAAGAATGTGGGAATTTCGGTATTAGTAAAGTTAGAAATTTTAAAAATTTGGAAATTTGAAAGATTTGGAAATTTGAGACATTTGGAAATTTGTGAAATTTGGAAATTTGAGAGATTTGGAAATTTGAGTAATCTGGAAATTTGGGAGATTTGGAAATTTAAGAAATTTGGAAATTTGAAAGATTTGGAAATTTGAGACATTTGGAAATTTGTGAAATTTGGAAATTTGAGAGATTTGGAAATTTGAGAAATTTGGAAATTTGAAAGATTCGGAAATTTGAGAAATTTGGAAATTTGAGAGATTTGGAAATTCGGGAGATTTGGAAATTTGAGAAATTTGGAAATTTGAGTAATCTGGAAATTTGTGAGATTTGGAAATTTCTCAAATTTCCAAATTTAGAAATCTAAAAATCTAAAAATCTAAAAATCTAGAAACCTAGAAATCCAGAAACATAAAAATCTAAAAACACAAAAATTTGAAAATTCAAAAATATAAAACCTTGATAATTAAGAAACTTCAAAATATAAATTTGAAAAATTAAAAACTTGAAAGTTTGATGATTTAAAATGTAATTATGGCATACATTCGATTATAGTCCTAAATAAATCGTGTTCTTCGAGATTTGCTATTAAAAACTGCAAAAATAAAACGTGTATCGGATATGCAGTAATAAACACATTAAAAGTAAAAGCATGCGAGATTTCAAGGAGAGGCACGGTTTCAGCTGCTGTACATCCGTGCTCGAAGGATTTCGAAACGAATCCCTTACGTGTGTTGTTCAATCGGAGGACCTTTCCGAAGACCTCGACGTGAAATATATTCATTCTTTTACATTGATTCTTCTCACCTGCATCGTCACGTTACTCCCACGCAATCGTCTCTCTCTATTTATTGTAGAATACCTAAAGTCAGAGCTGTCTCCAGAAATTACGGTGCCCTGAGACAAAATAAAATTTGCAACTTACATCTAAATTTAAAACTTTGTACATTTTTAACTTTTATAATGTTTCGATTAAAAATGTTTAAACTGGAAAATGTTTCAATTAAAGATATTTAAATTGGAAAATGTTTCGATTACAAATTTTTAGCTGTGAAAATGTTTCAATTGAAAATGTTTAGATATGCAAATGTTTCAATTTAAAAATTATTAAATTTGCAAATGTTTGAATTGAAAATATTTAAATAAGAAAATGTTGAATTAAAAATGTTTAAATTTGAAAATTCTTATTGTTGAATATTTGATGATTACAGTGGTAGATTATTTGATAAAGAAATTGGCAGTTACAAAATTAGACTATTTGACGAAACAATTTGCAGTTGTACAGTTGTATTATTTGATAAAGAAGCATACTGGTAAATTCACTCATTCCGTATGCGTGTCAAGGCTAAGAGATGGCAGTTGATTGATCTATTTGAATCATTTTTGTTCAAGAAAAGAGAAGTTAACGATTCTAGAAATTATCAATTCTGATTTTCAATGTGTCTTTCATCATTGTATATTCTAGTTTGATCATTCTACGTCATCGAGAAAAAATTTAATCAATGACCAGAGTGATTTATTGGATGCATCGTGAAATCTTCGTAGTTTAACTACGTATGAATTATATTTAGAGAACATTCGCTTATCGTGATATTTTAAGATTGTTATCAGATAAGGATTTAAAGTAAAGTGGAGCGACTAACATTTGTGTCTTTCTTTTATTCAGGTCGGGACGATTTCGACGGAGGGCTGGACTTCTCGCAATTGGAAGATTTTATTAACAGCGACAGCGAACAACCGGCTACGTGAGTATCTTCATCTTCAAATCTTATTTGCCTCTTTTGTTATGGTACCTTTATCTTCAAATATTATTTGGCTCTTTTGTTATGATGTTTAATCAAAATATGTGCTCGGATTATACTGATGTGTGCGCGGTTGCAACGTGGGCTTTTCTTTATTAAGAGGAAGTTCACAAGTGTTTAAGATCTACAGTCTAGATTAAGTGCTTCCTAGGTTCTCCTTGGAATATTTGTATCTTTCAAAATTTACAAATTTGCTAATATTCGAATTCTCGAATGCTCAAGTTCCTACATATCCAAATTCTCACATAACTAAATTCCCACATATCCAAATTTCCACATATTCAAATTCCCACATATCCCAATTCCCACATATCTAAATTCCCACATATTCAAATTTCCATATAAGCCAATTCCCACATATCCCAAAACCCACATATCCAAATTTCCACATATTCCAATTCCCACATATTCAATTTCTCACATATCCAAATTCCCACATATACAAATTCTCACATATCCAAAAAACCCACATATCCCAATTCTCACATATCCAAAAAAACCCACATATCGCAATTTCTATATACCCCAATTCCCACATATCCAAGTTCCCACATATCCAAATACCCAATTATCCACCTTCTCAAATCCCTAAATCCCTAAATTTCGAAATCTTCACATGCCAAGCTCACAAATCTCCGCCGTATAATCTTCCTAAAACGAGTTATTTTTCAAAAATTCGGAAACGATAGTTGATAAAAACAATTAACATTTCGAAACGTCCGACGGCAGCTTTATTAAATTCATTTTCAAGTATTAAACGCAATTACTAAACATCCGATCGTCTGCGTTAATTATCGATGCAGCAGAAATATTCCTTACAAAAATTAAGGTATCTAACAAGGAAAACAAATTTTTGCATTTTCACACGTTTACGCTGGTAAACAATACTCTTTCTCCTTTTAATTATTTACCGGCCTTCGTAATTCCTATATATATCAAGTCGTAAATTAACACGAAATTTTAAAACAATGACTCTTTTTAAAATGTTCAAAAAGTACTTATATTCTTTAAAATTCATTATTGTCCGTTAAAACATTTTAAAGATTTTTCTAACCGACGATGGTGTTTCACTTTACCGGGAAGCCATCGTTAACGCCTACATCGTCAACGTATGCGACCGCAGCAAACACGATCCTGATTTTACATTTGATTAATCCATCGAGGCACAGCTCTTTTCTACATTCGTAGACTAAACGTCAAATATATACGATAGTTTAAAATCTGATTTTATCAATCTACTGCAGAATAGGTATTTTTGTAGAATTTTGCCCACTCAAATAGATTTATCCTACATTTCACTTTTAATAATACTTCTATTAATGGATATAATAAACCATCGTTATTTAACTTAATTTTACATCGACTTTCACGAACATTAGCGTTTGTCAAACATTATGCGCGTGATGCTAGCCGGTTTATCTCTACCGGTTATATCTGCACCTTACACCATGTACAATTGGCCGGTGGTATCAGTAACGTGTATTACTAATTAACGTGTTGTACCACTAATTTGCGGTATCCAACATCACTAACACATTATTACTAAATTTTTACATTTCTAGCTCGTGGCATTACTAACTCGTAACATCAGTAATACGTGGTTCACTAAAACGTATGAACACTAACGAGTTGTGTCACTAACACGATATATCACTTATTTGAAATATCACTAAATTGTATCACCAATTCGTGATATCACTAACTTGTATTACCAACTCGTGATATCACTAACGCATTGTATTCAATATGTGTTGAATCGCTCTGTATCACCACATACTGTATTGCCAGCATTGCTTCCCATGTTGCATTGCTCACATCGCCCACCGCGTAATCGCGCGTTAAATATACTCCATATTCCCATATAAAGATACAAGTGTAACCGTTCGACAAATTATAATCAGCAAAAGTTACAACCGGTGGATGGCGATGTATTACGAGAACCACTGCTCATTGCAGCCGGGTTAATAACCGGCCGATTTTGTGAGCGCATTATACTGTTTTCATGGACTATACTTCGTGGAAAGCGTGCGTTGGAATAGCAGACAGAGATCATGTGGTAGCGACCGCAGAGGTGTAATGATATAATGACAGAGACAGGCTGGACGGAATTGATGGAATCAGTGCTTGCCGCGTTAGGCTTGGTAATCCAACCTAACGCACTCGTCCCATTAAAGGCCCCGCCACGTTGCGACGCATTGCGTCGCGTCGCATTGATCTCAGAAACAGATTTCATTCGCGGATCAAACGAGAGCTCTTCACCCTTGATCCTCCATTAGGTCGTAGGGTTACCACGATACTAACTACACGTTCATTATCCCACTTTGTATCACATAAATTTCTTTCGCAAATTACTGCACGAGTATTTTTTGTATCACTCTTTTACCATGTACAGCGATATTTTATATACAGCGCATTTTTAGCATGTACAGCAATATTTCGTATATGGCATGTTTTTAGAATGTACATGTTAGATATTTTTTTAGAAAAGAAAACCGTTCCCAATTGAGGTACTGGGGTAAGTGCCGAAAGGTCAAATTCAGTCCTCTTACCAAAGGCATCCTTGCCTCCCCACTACGTGGCCAGATCCTCAAGGAACAATCTCAATTATTCGACTAAGTAATTCAATAACAAACTGTCTATCCTTTTCTACAATCTCAGAAACTAACAAAACACACAGTCCTGCGACATCCGATGACCATACGACTCCGAGTCGATAGCCATCATCTATCGCCTCACTTGGACTCTCATAAGCAACCTTTCGCTTAGACCTCACGCAGTCTATCCCTCTCATAAATCGTTCAAAGGCAAAATAGCACGGGCTAATTGCCCTCGATGACCCCCCAAAATTCGTTGACGCTAACATACAGCAATATTTCATGTATTTTTTACCATCTTTTTCGTATTATTTTCTGATGAAATCTTCGTGCTCGAGATGGAGGTTAAAGTGTATTGGAAGATATTGGAGTATTAATAAGCATGATTATTTTAATATCATGATGTAATTGCAGATATTTCGCGGACACCCTTGCTCACAATGAAAACGGGGGTGGAACGACCAGTCATGGTGGTCGCGTCGAAGCGACGACCACTCAACCACTCTCTCGATTACCCTCGCCGATTGCTCAAAGTCATCCGGTCTCGAGTACCTGCACATCCGGTACCACGACCGTTCAAAATGGCGCCGCTTACAAGGATCCACAATCGTACGTTCACCCGTAAGTCGAATTAACGTTCTGCATTCGAAATGCTTCATTTGTACTATTAACTCGTAATCCGTATCAAATGATCGATTATTCAACGTCAATATTTCTCAGACATATAAAATGAATTTAACCCCTTACACTATTTTGACTTGTGACGCACTCGTACTTCAGCCGTGATCAATTTTACTCGCATTTTTAGTACGCTTCAATTCGAAGTTCAAGTCCAATTATAATTTGCATAGTCAACGATTGCATAATAACATACTGACATAATATTTCAAATTCTTTTGTCTGTGTTAATATTATAGCTGTAATTAGTCAGTTCCGACTGACGCACTTGACAAATAAGCCATAGTGCAAGGGGTTAATGGTTTACCATTAAAGAAATTATAAATGAGTTCCGATTTTAAAATGACTGTGTTTGATCTGAAAAAAGCAGGAACAATGAAATTATAATTTTTAGCCACGCGTTACCAGAAAGTCCACCAGACAGCGGTAGCGAGCCGCCATATTCGCCACCGGGTCACAACGATACTCAACACGTGCACTCACCACGTAAGTTTGCTAAACATTCCGTGTAAGATCGATCACTTCGTCGAAACTTTTAGTCATAGTTATGACTGAAACTCCCAAGGTAATCACGATCAAATTTCAACCGTATACCAGCTTCTATGTTATCGTTTCAGATCAAAAGGTAGCTCTTCAGGAAATGCTGCTCCATCATCAGGGCAATCAGGCAAATTACGCTCCAAACCTGTTACCATCCTCACCAAGAACTTTAACGTCGTCCACGGATCCGATGCTACTGACGCATTCGGTTCTAACGTCGCACCTTGGGTCTACGACACCGAATATTCAACCGCAACAACAGATAAGTCAGAATCTCGTGCCTTTGCCGCACGAACACAGCCCTGGAAACATCAACACCCTGTACTCGTCCTTGCAATCGGCGCCTAAGAAGAGAAAATTGAGCCAGGATGGACTTGTCCATGTAAAGCAGGTGCAACGAGTAAAATTCTTTGCTACCATCATTGATTAACTGTTTCTCAGAATGAAATGGACTTATCGATTGACTCTCTGATTGCGGACCGGTGGAATATGAAATATTCCTTAGAAGTACAAAGTTAGATGTAGAAACATGTAGAAATTTCACATGGATTTCAAGTTTGGAAATTTATAAACTGGGCATTAACTGGAGTTAAATTCAAATTTTCTTTCTCATCGATCTGTAATTTGAGAGTTAACGAAACAATTGTAATTGTATTCTAATTGTTATTTACGTTGAGTTATTTATGGCTTAGGAACCTGAATTAGGCACGGTGGAACACAGCTGTAGCAGTAGCAGCGCAGTCCTCGACGGTGACGAAGTCGCGGAAAACGGTTACATCGATGCTAGTTACCAGTGCATCCGGTTTCATCCGTTTCAGCAGACATCTTGGCACGTTCTTTGCGATCATAATTTGAAAGAACTTCCAGTACCTCATTACCGGGTGGACGCGGACAAGGGATTCAATTTTAGTAATTCGGATGATGCGTTTGTCTGTCAGAAGAAAAATCACTTCCAGGTAATCTCGCAGTTAATAAAAAAGAGAACAATAATTTTTATTCAACTTTGGAAATAACAAAAGAATTATCTTAATTATCTTAATCAAAGTAGTTATAGCTTATTTCTTGTCAACTCTGTTTTCAAACCTTGTAATTGCAAGAGCGTTTGTAACAAGAAAATGAATCTATCTGCAAGAGTAAGTAACTATGTATGTCAGAAAGAATGTTGAGATAAAAAGATCAACGGGCTGAATTGTTTAACATTCTTCACGCCGGTAATTGCCCCAGTTCAGAATCTATTCTGGTAGAAGTTATCAAACGTAGCGTGTACATATTATCGAGGTCCATAAAAGAACAGAATACTGTAATTGTACGAAACGCGGTGTTCCAGATTACCTGCCATGCTCAGCTCCAAGGAGAAGCTATATTCGTCAGAACTGGCGAAGGTCTAAAGAAAATAAGCAGCTTTCAGTTACACTTTTATGGCGTTAAAGTCGAGTCCCCGACCCAAACGATCAGAGTTGAGCAGAGTCAAAGCGACAGAAGCAAAAAACCGTTCCATCCGGTGACGTAAGTATACGTACGAAGATGAATGACAATAACATGGCCAGTATATCGTTCTTTTTTTTCGTTTCCCATTTTATGCGAATACACGAAAATGATATGCAAACCTTTCGGAACCTTTGGTGCGAAATTCTTTCATACTCGACGAATGTACGGAAATCCTTGCTTCACGCTGAAACAGAGCTGCTTTCAGGGTGGAATTAGGCGGTGAACGTGTCACGAAGGTGACAGTTGGCCGTCTTCACTTCAGCGAAACGACCAGCAATAACATGCGGAAGAAAGGGAAACCGAATCCGGATCAAAGATATTTTCATTTGGTTGTCGGATTGCATGCTCACACCGCGGACCAAGCTAGCTATCAAGTAGTGGCTCATGCATCGGAGAGGATAATCGTCAGGGTAATTACTGTTGAGTATAAAATCCTATGGATTAGCAACTCTAAACACTATTTAACGCGTATAGAATTACATGCGTGTCACTTCATACGTAACATGCACAGGGTGAACTATCTATACTAGTACTCTCATAATTTTACAAAAATATGTATCATAAAAATGTGCATTCTATGTAGGCAAGTAATCCAGGACAATTCGAGTCAGAAGGCAGTGGTGTCGGCGCAGAAGGTGGTTGGCAAAGAGGATCAGCTCCGGACAGCGTTTATCATGCTGGTCGAGTTGGGATCAACACAGACAGGCCTGACGAAGCTCTTGTAGTTCACGGCAATATGAAGGTGTTCATCTGTCTTACCTGTGTGTTTTTTTAACGCTTTAACTGTCATATAGAAATTGTACAATAGCTCTAAATGATTTTTATTCAAGTTTTACTTTAGGAAACAAACTTATCTAAAATGTATGTATAACAGGTGACGGGTCATATTGTTCAACCCAGCGATGCACGAGCGAAGCAAAACGTACAAGAAATAGATACGCGTGAACAATTGCGGAACGTGCAGCAGCTGAGGGTTGTTCGCTACAGATACGCCCCGGAATTTGCTCAGCATTCAGGTTTAGGCATTAAACAGCAAGAGGACACAGGTGTGATTGCACAGGAGGTCCAACAAATACTACCAGAAGCTGTGCTGCCAGCCGGTGATATAGTTCTTCCAAATGGTCAGAGGATCGAGAATTTTTTGGTAGTGAACAAGGAGAGGATATTCATGGAAAACGTTGGTGCTGTGAAAGAACTATGTAAAGTAAGATAATCATATTTTTGTTATAATTATTGGATACCCTTTTTATTTAGCAGTTTTTAATAGTGGTTGAATATTTATAGGTGACGGATAGCTTGGAAACTCGTATAGACCAGTTGGAACGAATAAACAAACGGTTAGCAAAGTTGAAGAGAGACGATAGTTTGAAAAGTTCAATCAGTACGATATCTAGTAAGACCACTGTACAGGGAAAGGGAAAAAAGAACGAACGGGAGGACGAGTTTCTTTGTAGTAACAAGTTCATTCAGATCGTCATCGTTATACTTATCCTTATCATGGCCTTTTGGTAATTACATCTCATGATCTCATCTCTTCAACCTGACGCTTTATTATGTACGGTGTGTCTCAATTAAACTCGCTAAAATGTCACAATCATTTATAATTGTCAAATAGTGTAGTAGTCAAAATTGTGTCAGGTCGAAAAGGTTAAATCTACTTTCTCTTCCCGTGGAAAGTAAAATATTTGATTGAGTGATTTAATTTTCAGCCTAGTTGCAATGGCGACGTTGTATTTCTTAGAGTATCAGAAACGTAGCAACTTCGAGTGGCCAGCAGTAAGTAGTAATGGAATGTTGGCCATAAGACCAGCCCATCCGTTGACAATATCGAGTACACCTAATTACGATCCGAGATACAATTCCTTATTGGATAGCACGTTGTCCTCCTTGTACACTAAACATGGATCGCACAGCAGAGGTTTAGATAGCAGTTTGTCGGTGAAAAGCAACGCGTTTTCCACGTCAACGCCGCATACAAAGCAACAGCTTTACTCTCATGAAATAACTTGGTACCCTACCAGTCATTCGGGGCCACAACCAAAACTTGACAAGAATAGGTTGGTAATCAGTTAATTACTTTCTTCTCAGATAGCATGAGAACTATAAGACGTATAATACCTCATATTCTAATTTTAGAAATTTTCAAATCGTCAAATCCCCAAATCTAATATTTAAGAAACACAGTTTGTTTTTACATACGTCATTAACATTGCAGTGAATTTCCTGGCAACTGGTTGAGCAGAAATGGCGCAGGCGTTATCCCCAGTAATGTAGATGAGAATGATCAGGGATCGGACGTAGAAACTTCATCTTTGAACAAAGGTCCGATTCCTTTAGGTAGACCAGTAGATTGTCCTAGACACTTTAGCGAATTTGGAAATCCTTGTAAGGTAAGCTGTTTCCTTCGCATCCTTCTGACCTTTTTTGTTACTTCTACGTTAAATCAAAATATCTCTTTTCAGGTGCATTGCTGCACTACCAAGATGCATCAGTTTGAGGAGCTTCAACCTGATCATCCTCCAGAGAAGAAATCAATTTGTAAGTTTCAATTCTATCGTTTTAAATTTATGTGATATACACTGTTCACGATAAAAGAAAATGTAATTGCGCTTTTTAGCAGACCATATAGAACAGCCTTTGAACGTACACGAAGAAAAACGGAAAATAACCAAAGGTTTTCAGAATGGTATCAACCCTTCTGATCCAAGCACGCAGACGCTTGTGAAAGAGGTGGAGTATCGAATATATTTCTCCTTAAACACGATTTCGTATAATATTAAACGTTATATTTCATTTTACAGAATAATTACAAATATTCTTACAAGAGGACGAGAAGGGAAACTAGCGGTGGAGTCTGGGCGGAAGTTGGCAGTAACGCCGCGGGATCGTTGCCACCAGAACCTAAACCACAATTGTGGATAGTGGCGGAGAATTTTAACGCTTCGCTGGATCAGAAGTATTGCTCCGCATCTTCGCAGGATACGCCGAATAATATTACTTGCGTCATTCCTTTATCCAAGTATATGCCAGATGTTCGTCTCACATTGCATTTTGTGTACGTATCACTGGTCTATTCATAATTTACAATGTATCTACAATAAATTAAAATTTGTTTTCAATTTTTTTGTACTATTAGTGGAATGCCAGGGTACGGACAAGTAGTACAACAATGCACTTCGTCAACTAATCCCGGCATTGACGAATCGATGATATGTAGTCCAAAATATGCAATACAGCCGCAAACCGAGTTGAAAATCGATATTGAAAATAACAACCAACGGGGAGATCAATCATTTCCTCTTGATGTTGCTCATTATCTTCGGAAAACACTGAGGTTTCGTGTACCAACCGTACAGCCACAAGAGGTAACCGATAATTTTTTAAATATCATATTTTTCGACAGGTACTTCATCTGCCTGTTATTGATTTTAAACGCAGACAATGTTAAATATTAACAGAAACTTATTTCTTTTGCAGAACATTTGTAAGAATATACACGGCGTCGATTATTCGGAATATACATTGCACTTTTATCGAGATTGCGACGAGTGATTGATTTCTATTGCGACATGACATGACCCAAGGACTTTAATGTTTTTATTCCGGAAAGGAAGATCGTTGAATAAAAGTACTGCAGGACCTTCTTGTGCCTTCGTAACGTACGCCTTCTCTATTTTGTCCAGCTATGAAATTATACACCGTATATTTGGTAATATAAGTATCGTCGAATAAATCTCAAACTATTTTATATGTTATTATAATACATTGTGTAGCGTGACGATTTTAATGATCAGTAGAAACGGATAGATCGTAGAAACTCAAAGATAATAGATTGTAATTTAATAGAATGTAGACTTTTACATTTCGTTAAAAATCATACGTGCTGTTGCGCGTTTGATGAAAGATACGAAGAACTCGATAATTGGTAATCAGTGTTTATATTATCAATCTTCGTAATATTTACTTTCTTCTCTTTGCTGAAAATGTGAAAGTAATATTTTAAACGATAACATGTAAATATGTGTCCCTTTTAAAAATCTGACCGCAATCGGCAGTTAAATTATGTATATCGTTTCAGTGATTTTTATGTTATCTATAAATACGTACAGAATGTATCATTATCGAACACGTTGCTGAATGCTGATCAATGTTATACATACACCGACGAACAAGGTAGACTCCTCTAGGGAAAATGGTGATTTAGATGCGAAGACCATTTCAGCACACTGGCGAGCACTCTTTATAGAGGAAATATTAAAAGTTTAGTAATTTGAAAAATTGAAAATTTGGCTGTTTGCTAATTTGGTGATTTAGTGACTTGGGGATCTGAAAATTTGTGGTATTAAGGCTTTTAAAATTTGTGAATTTGAGGATGTGGTGAGTTGGAAATTTGAAAATTTGAAGAATTGGAGATTTGTGAAAAACTACTGACTTACAAGCTTTCAAATATACCACATATTTTGCATCATTTTCCTTAGGTAAACCTACCGTATCCGGGACTGTACATGATCACATATTATTAGAGGGATAAAAATCTTCGTGTATACATTCACACGTGTATACAGAAAAAGTGATGATAAAGGTTTGTCTAAAGACGAGATGATGTACAAAGTAATATTAAATATTCATCATATATATGTTACGTATATCGAATATAGTATATTGGTGTCGACTTCGGTTTAAGAGTTCACTCTTCGTTTTACGCGTCATTAAAATTCGTGCATTTTTTCTAATTATTTTCATTCGAACGAAAGATAGATGTTTGTAAAACACTATCATGGAGTTTCAAGTTCCTAAAAGATATTGTATAATAATTGTCTATTTCGTACGGTAGAATTAGTCGAAAAATTTCGTTTGCATATTCTCTATCGCGACTATGTTATCACGTTGATTGCTACGGAACATTTATCACTGGTATTAAAGAATTAATTTTATAATTTAATGCCCTATTTTATCCTTTCTAGTAGTACAATTTTATTCTTCTGATTTCTCTTTTATTACCTTCACTACAAAATTTTATTTATGTATTCAATTTAATTGGATAGAATTAAATCATATATGACTGTGGCAATCAACGGGTTAATCACATATGAATATATCATTGTTGTTATCATCGTTATTATTGTTGCTATCATTATTATCGTTGCTCCAAAATATAACAGGGCTGCTATGTCAGTGATAGACAGATTAAAGCTCCTCACGGGTACAGACGTGCATAGAGATCTACGGGACTGAAAATTTAGAAATTTGATAATATGTAAATAAAATTTCAAATTTTTAAATTTCTAAATTTTCAGATTGAGAAGTTGTCTATTAGTGCCTTTAAGTATTGCCGCTGCACGTTGTCCATCACTGATCTGTACGAATCCGAATTATGATTTACGTTTATGAGATTTGTTTTTTTTCATCGTTTGAATTTATATGATTTATGCGCGAATATATATACGATCAGCACGCCACTTCTGCCGTCCATACGTTTTCCATTTAGCGAAGACATTTACGATAAGTTTTAAGCGAACGTTGATCCAATCATGGATATATATATTTTTACAGAAAGTGCTCGCGACTAGCACGTATCATTTTCATACGCGTGAATCGTGTTATAAAAGAAGACAACGATATTGTACAGTAAGATGTAATTGAAACGCGAGTGTGAGGCAACTATATTGCACTATAAATCGTTATTGATACGTGAAACGATTAACACGTTGACTATGCTGCTCTCTTTGCTGTTAACGTGTCTTTCATCTTTAAAGATATTTTAAGTTGAATGTACTTTTTAATTAATGAAATGTATTCGTGTGATGTGTAAGATTTAGATCTAAAATTATCCTAATTAATTTTTGCATAACTTTATCATTTTTCCAGATATTTAGAGAAACTAATGTGGAGTCACTGGTGACACCATAAATTTATTGAACAAGGATAAAGGAAACAAATTAAAGGCACCTAAAAGTAATTGTACATCATTGTTTCACATAAGGATGTTTTTACCTTAGTCAACGTGTTAACATTTCACATTTAATGCTTTTATTCGTAACTTCATACCTTCCTGCTGGAATACATAAGCACAAATACACGAACAAATTCTTTTAACACAAAGCTGATAATTTTTACAGCATCACCATGTATTAATGGTATTGTAATGCAATTATAAATTATTGCTATACACTATATATACATATATATATATTTAATACAAACACGCACGTGTACATGATATTACAGCATTAACGTTGAACGTATCGTTACTTCTTCTTTCCTATACAGAATCCATTCATTGTTAAAAAGGGATTCTGTATAATAAAAAATGATATTTGTATGATATAGTATATTTAACTTAGACATAGTATTCTTTTTTCAGGAAATTTCTATATTGTAACACCGACATCTGTATATTTTTCATTTATCATTCACATCGTTCAGATTGTAATGCTTCATTGTTTTCTACGTTCATGGTTTAATCTCTTGCCTCACACTATTTACTGTAGCGAAGTCTCGATTACCAGATATAGCCCTGTTCGCGGTGAAATACCGAGGCTCCATTACGTAAAATTTTAATGTTACTTTCAAATCAAATAAACAATTATTAAAATAATTTTAATAATCATTAAAATTAGATGAATGTATCAATTTTTGTCTACAAGAAACTTTAGGCAAGAGGTTCATGCAAGATGTTTATTGTTTTTATATTTTAATGTAGATATCATGACTCGTATCGAGAAAAGAAGATTTATTTGCATACTTTGATTCATCTTTCACGATGAATTTGTTAAGGAGATCTCAGGCGATCGATATTTGTATGTCAATATTATTAAACACGCGAGGAAAAATATTGACGCGTTATCAATATTTAAGTATCTGTTGAGATAATTTGATAAAAATAAAAATACTTTTTTCCTTTTGAATAATCTGAGTGCTATAAGTGTTAGCATTTAATGTGTAAGATAAATGGAGTTTGTCGATAAATATTAACAGTATTGGCAATGTAGATTGATCGTCTGAAGTCCCTACAAGAAATGAACGTAGAAACTGAAAAGAACAGGAAGAGAAGGAGCAGGAGTGTCATAACGTTGAAAGAGAAACGAATTCGTTTTATTTTTCCAGACATTCAGCTCTGAGACGAAAAGCTGTTTAACGTAAATAGCATAATGTTTTTAATTTGAAGCGGTAGAATTTGTACATAAAACTTCGAGCGTAACAGTGGTACGTGTACTACTTTCTTTTCGGTGAAACGTTGTTAGCTTTTAAGCAATTAGCAATCATGTAATTATAAAGACGTCGTTGTATTAATACCAACGAGAGAGATTACTCGTAAAGACATTACTTTTAACAAGTGGTATTCTATGTATTATATTGCCCGATCAATGGTCATTCCAGTTAGTATTAAATGAACGTTTAGAACGATGATAAAGAAGTGTCTAAATATCTGAATGTTTTGCGAGAAAGGTGTATGTAGAAAAATTGCTGCTCGATCGAGATAATATTATTAAAGCTTTCTTTCATCTATATACTATCGATCATAACGATTTTTTATTTTTAAATAAATAGAAACTTTTTGCCAGAGATTGAATACTTTCGATCTCATGAAACATTTTGGAATATTCATTAATTATGATGCAGTGCAGTTGGTGAAAATTTGTAAAATTGCTTGCTTCGAAGAAATTTGAGCAACGATAAAAAACGAGTAAGCAAATGAAAATTGAAGGATCGATTCTCCTAGTCCTATTGTACTGTTTTAACAACATATTTTTCTTTCCTACTAACGCTGAACGCAATTTAATGCGACGATTTGTCTTTATTCACCTTGTCGAGCATCGAATAGTACTATTTATGTATATTTGAACAAAAACGCATGTAAATGTTATATTCACGTATTTATGAATGTATCGTTAAAATAATAAAAATATATATATACACAATGAATCTGTATTCGTAGAAAAAAATAAAGATACTACTGCAGAATATACATGATATTCCATAACAGAATATTTTTTTTCTTTAACGTTATGATCAAGTACACAAGGTGAATGAATAGTACCGAAACAATTATTATTTTCTTTAGTATTTCGTATTTAAATTTATCGGTTCAGACTAGAATCGAATTTACTAGAATTCATGATTTGACACAAAAAAAACACTTTAATGAAGTTGCACTAAATGCTTTATTTTTATACACATTATGCAGTCTTTTTTATTAAGCAATAATATAATTAACATAAATAATTGTATAAAAAATTATAAATATTTAATAATCTTCTTCATCATAGCCATATCCAAAGTCATTCTCGTCTTCTGATGCGTTCCTTCCAAGCATTTGTCCAACAGTCATTTCCGTAGGATCGGCATCGACCTCTTCGTCAATATAATCATCGGTTTCATCTATTTTGGAAAAAAGTGTTCGTTACAGATTCGTTGATTAAAAAGAAGTTAGAAATGGAATATAGAACAGGACGTGATACGCAAATTAATTTTAAGTATATTAAATTTACCCATATCACAGGCGTTTACTCTTGGTTCAACTGCGTCAGTTTCTACTTCAATAGGTTTCTCAACATTCTCTTCTTTCGTCTCTTTTACGTTCGGTTTAACCTTAACCGAATGGGATTTCTTTACTGTCGGCGGCTTGTCTTGTGATTTTGATGTATTAGAAACATTAGATCTACAAATATACATAAAACGTTTAAATTATATTTATGTTACAAAGCATTAAATCATTACTACTGTTATACTAACATTTTGCTGGAACCTGCAGCATTATCTACATGCGCTTTGACGGGTTGAATTGGAAGCTCTTCTACTTTCTGTTGCTCCTTATTTGAAGCAGTTATATTAACATTTAAACTTTTTAATACTTCATAATTGATCTTAGATGAAATCTTTTTCTCTTGTAACATTTTCTCTATAGCTTCTCCTAATGAAGCAGATTAAAAAACAAAGGTATATGTAATATCGTACAAAATTAATATAGCAATGAACTGTATACAATAATAACAGTACAGATATTATTATTACCTGCAGTATTTGCTGGCGTTTGAGTTTTATTTCTTTTAGTAGTACGTCGTCTCTTTTTCTCAGGTTTACCCTCTTCTTTCTCTTTTTGTCGTTTCTCTTCTTTTTCCTTTTGCTGGTTCAAATATTCAGCATTTACCTTATTCCATAAGTTGTGCTTAAACTGTGCCTCCTTTTCCGACATGATATAACTATCTAATTCTTCATCGTCGAGGTCAGCGATATCAATCTCTCCCGAGTTCTAGAAGAAGAAATGACTATAAATACATTTTATTAAATAACGCGGAGGCAAAATAAACTTCTGAAGCTAATTTTACTTGCATTTTCGAAAGTTGCATTCATCTGTCCGTTCGTTTCATTTTCTCGATCATTCGCCGATATCAATCCCATGGAAGCAATATTTGGACCTTGAAATAGTTACACATGTCACAAATTTTGTAACAATTGAAATATAATAAAATTGTTTTAACAATTACCCAGTCCAGTGATCAACCGATTGCTAGTGTCATTTGAATCTTGAAGGTCACTATCAGGATCATCCACGTCGTTTTCAACGTAACTTTTTATTACATCTAAATTACTCTCCCTTACGAATCTTTCAGTATCCTCCCTTTCTAAGTAAGCAGCTAAAAATTAAATATGCGTATAATAAATATCAAACTCTTTTTTAATTTCTAAATAATTACCATCTTTTCGTTTCCTTGTTTTTCCTATAGTTTGCTCATCCAGCTGTTTATCAATCTCTGCCTGTAGCTCATTTATTTCTGTATCTATATTTTCCAACTGTAAAATGAAAATTTTATCTTATTTCAATAATTTTTGAAAATAAAAAGAAGATCAAAATTTATACCTTCTGCAATCGTTCTCTGTCCTTTTTTCGCGCAGCTTTAAACGCCGGAGGATCCTGTTCCTCTTCCAAATCTACCGTCATAAATTCTTCGAGAGTCAACGCGCTCGAGGGTGTATCTCCAAACTCTATAAGCCTACGAGTTTCCATAAATATAATTCCTTATAAATGTAGACTTCCCTGGAAAAGAAATTTGTCGAAAAATGTTTTACCTTTTACGTAACGTTGATTCATGTACTTTTACAATTTTTATAATATCGGCGGGCGATCTGTTGAATTCATGTAATCGAGCAGCCATCAACAAGGCTAATGTAAAAAAAAAGAAAAGAACGTTGTTTTTTACTCAGTGCCAACATACTTTCTTCATAAAATTTTATTTAATAATAATAATAAGTTCTTAATTTCATTTAGTAAATAAGGAAACTAAATATTTACAAATTAATCTGTAAAATAAGGATCAGGTAATTAAAAATATCAAAATAAGTACAATTAATTATATCAACTTTTTTATACCAGCTCCACATAATCCCGATGGCCTGCGTCCGCTATGAATACTGTCTCTTTTCATCCTTTGAACTACTCGTAGGGCTGTCATCGACACTTCGTGAGTTTTCTCACCGAATTCCAGTTTGTTCGCAAACCTCATAATGTATAAGCATGGATCTGTAATAAACATTATGAGCGTACTTTTACATTTCTAAATTCTCAAATTTTCAAATTCCTAAAGTCCTAAATGTCGTAAATTTTCAATTGCCAATTTTCAAAGCTTCCCTTCCGATGTTACCCGAATTTTTCCGAACTCAAACCGAAGCTGGTACCCGATATACCGCGCATGTAGCACGCACTGCGCAGATCGAAAACTGACTTTTCGAGAGACACCCGATATATGGACGCGCGTGCCCTAAGTTGTCTATCGACCGACGTGCAAATCTAACCAGCGCCCGTCTGACATGGCGCCCATGTAACTGAAATCCAAAATCATTTTGTGTTGCAACTTTAGAAAAGACGAGCGTTGAGTTAAAAAAGTGATAATGGCAATGTCGAATCTTTATTCCAAAATATCAACCAAGCCGATGAAGCGCTTTCAAGACAACGTCACAGTCAAGCAGACTAATCCGTGGTTAAACGGTGAGATAAACTATCTTAGATATAAATAAATATAATATATGTATATTCCTAATACATAATACGATTCGTGAATTTTTAAGCTAAATCATAAAAATAGAGAAAAACGAAAATTTGATTTATTTTTTACTTATTTAATGTTGCTTGAATATTATTAGGTCTTTTCTAATATTTCATGTAACTTCATGTAATTATAAATTTTAATTTGTCATTTTCAGTCTTTTCGCATTTAATTTGAAAATATATAGCTTATATATTATATTGTTTTGATTAATATTGTTAACAATTATACATAAATAAACACATGTTATATTGTATTTAGTTTCAGTTTGATAATTTACGCCGGCTTTATGTTACAAAATATTATGTTCGTATGAATTTATATTGTTGAAAGTATAAAATTTGTGCATAGCTAACTCGATTTCATGTTTTGTTATAAATAAACAAATGTTTAAGTGAAAATTGATGATCAATGTTTAATTCAAATACAAATTTAGAAAACGTGAAAGAAAAACTTGTACTTTTATGATTTAATAAATGTATGCATATACGTGTGTGCTATGTATGTGCGTGTGCGTGCGCACAAGAGTATATATGCACATTTATTTAGTATATGTATCACGTGTATACGAAACGCCTACGAAACCACACGAATGAAAGCGAAATAAACCGAACTTTGTATCACTCCAGGATTTGCCATAGTTGAATTTTGCCTAAGATGTTACATTACACATGTATTATATGGATATGTTTGTGTTCGCGATACTTAAAAATGAACAATTTTTGAAATTGCGGTGACAAAAATTATTTACTATGTCGTAATAACAAAACCATTTTAGTTAAAGATATTTTCACAACTGTGGAATAATGTATTCTAACGGTAAAATTGGTAATTTACATGCATTTATTTTGACTAAACTGTCACTAAGAAAAGGTGATAATTTATACAATGCCTTAAAATGGCGATAAATAAAAGAGAAAATATACAGAAGAAAAATGTGGGGATCTACAAAACAATCAAACAAGCTTATTTATAAACCTTGAATCATTAAATGTTATTTTCGAGTATAACCTTTTCAGTGAAAGTTTTGTTAATGAAACAGTTCACTTGATTTTGGTAAAATCTATTTCACGCACATTAGTAATGATTCAAAGTTATTTAATACAGAGCAATGTTTTTTTATCACCTTGTTATTCTTTTCTGGTATATTTAATGTTTGTTATAATCATTACATTTTAAAGAAGTAAAAATAGAATGTGAATGATTAGATATTTGCACTACTTCCTTTAACACCAGTTTTTGAGTAATAACATTAACTGCTGTAATAAAGAAAATAATGTAAATATTGCTTTTCATCTTCATTATATTCTTATTCAATTTTTTATATTTTGAATTATTATATTCTACTAATCTATGAATTTTTAATATTATGTGTGTTTTAGCGGAATCACCAATTACTGTATCAGATTCACCACCTACAGTAAGCCCACTTTTTACTTCTTCCATTGTATTACAACGCGAGGGAACCATAAATCAGCCTCTTAGTGCACCTGCATCACCTTTGTCTTCCTTATCATCTCCTATAACTCAATTAAATTTGTCATCACCCGAAGACTGTACACAAGATCCTAATTGGCAAGCGACAAAACCCACAGTTCGCGAACGAAATGCTGCCATGTTTAACAATCATTTAATGGCTGATATTATATTCATTGTTGGTAGTCCAGGTAATTAAAAAAAAAAGATTTATATATGCTAAAAACAAATTATTATGTAAAATTTATAAAGTTAAATAACATTATATACTCATATTTAATGCAGGTCATACACAAACTATACCAGCACATAAGTATGTTTTAGCTACTGGTAGTTCTGTATTTTATGCCATGTTTTATGGTGGATTAGCTGAGAACAAAAGAGACATAGAAGTACCCGACGTAGAGCCAGCTGCTTTTCTTGCCTTATTAAGGTAAATATTTTCATTTCTGTGTAATTGTCAATATAAATTATACAACATTAATTAATAATTTCTTTTTAGGTATATGTATTGTGATGAAGTACAGTTAGAAGCTGATACAGTTTTGGCAACGCTGTATGTTGCTAAAAAATATATAGTCCCTCATCTAGCAAGGGCATGTGTTAATTATTTAGAAACAAGTTTAACAGCAAAGAATGCATGTTTATTATTAAGTCAATCGCGTTTGTTTGAGGAACCAGATCTCATGCAACGTTGCTGGGAAGTTATAGATGCTCAAGTAAGTTTAAATAAGAAAATGTTAAAATCATTCACATTAAATGACAATTTAGACATAACGCTAAACACTAAATCACATTTATTCATTGATGCAATTGAACATACTATGAGTTATCATTCTTGTGGAGATATTTGTTTAAATCATAAAGTAAAAGATTCACGTCAACATCAACTTACTCGTACAACTGCAGAAACTAATAATAAAAGTTATGTAAATGTCAAAAATAGACTGTCAGTAATGTCACATTGTTTTAGCTTATCAGAAAATAATTGTTGCACTAAATTTAATAATAAACGATTGTCACTTTCATTGTTTCGAACTCGAAGCGAACCGTATTTTGCAGATAATAAGTTAGACATTGAAGTAACACAGAATGTAACTTACGAAGATAATTTTGCAGAAGAATATGAATACAGTAAAAATGATTACAGTAATTTTCTTAAATAGCATCTAGCAATAATATGATTTATTTTGAATATTAAAATGTTTTTAGAACGAAATTGCTTATTTGTTTTTAGATTTGTTTGATTTAAATTTAAAAAAATTAGTACTTTTTATTTCAAATATATTTTTATTTTCAAAAATAATAAAATATATTTCATCATAAAAAACTAATAAGCAATTTTATAAAAAGAAGTAACAAGATAGTTTAATGCAACTTGTGTATAAAATTATATTTATTCAATTTAATTTATATATGTGTATGTATATTATACACTGATATCTATAAAACATTTCATTGTAATAAGTATTATTAAATTGAATACATTTTTAAAAATACAAACCAGTTTTTATATAATAAAAGCAATAGTACTTTTTATGTAAATATATTAAACATGTTTCTCTAAGTACTGCTACCTTCAATTTATTATATAAGAATTTTTTATATAATAAATGTTATTAATAAGAATTTTAATCAAATTATTTAAAACAATTTTGATTCTACATATTTTCCTAATTTTTATATTAATTATATTTTAAAAAATGGAGTTCTTTTATAATATTGTATACAAATTTTTCTTATTGAAAAATAAGTTAGTTAAATTAGCTGATTAACAGTATTTAAAGAAATTTAACATATAATATAAAGAGTAAGAAATCATTAAATAGAATGAAGTATTTAGTCCTAAATAAAATATCTATAATTCTATATACTTCCATTTCATGGAGTAAATATATTGCTAGAGATAAACTAACAAAGCATAATTGTAGCTCAATACGTGCTTAAAATATTTTTGTTAAACACACTAATTATATTAGTACGTATACAAAATTTAATGTAACACAGGCAGAAATGGCATTAAGATCAGATGGTTTTGTGGATATCGATATTCATACTCTTGAATCAGTTCTTTCTCGTGAAACATTAAACTGTAAAGAAATTCACATATGGGATGCTGCATTAAGATGGGCTACTGCAGAATGCATCAGACAAGAACTTGAACCATCAGCAACAAATCAAAGACGATTATTAGGTAAATGCTAGCAATATATTTTTAAATATGTAGCTAATAATTTTAATACTCATTTCATTCTAGGTTCTGCTTTATATTTAATTAGACTTCCTGCTATGAATTTGGAAGAATTTGCCAACAGTGCTGCTCAGACTGGAATCCTAACACAACAAGAAACAATTGACGTTTTCTTGCATTTTACTGCTAGTAATAAGCCTCAACTTTGTTTCCCTACTAAACCTCGACAGGGCTTAAAAACACAGGTAAATACAGTTTGTAACAACACTTATTCTGCGTCGATATAAAAGAAAGTACTTATAGTAATTACCAATGCAAATTTTCAAGTTTATCATAAAGACTAAAGTTTTTAATATCTTTCTTTGCAGGTGTGTCATAGGTTTCAATCATGTGCATATAGATCAAACCAATGGCGTTACAGAGGCAGATGTGATTCGATTCAATTTAGTGTTGACAAAAGGATTTTTGTTGTTGGTTTTGGGCTCTACGGAAGTTCATCTGGTGCTGCGGATTACAATGTTAGAATCGAACTTAAAAGATTAGGATGCGTTTTGTCTGAGAATAGTACTAAATTTTTCTCGGATGGTTCGAGCAGTACATTTCACGTGTATTTTGAAAATCCAATTCAAATAGAACCAGAATACTTTTATACAGCTAGCGTAATATTAGACGGAGGCGAGTTAAGTTACTTTGGACAAGAAGGCATGTCAGAGATCACAGTTGGTAACGTGAATTTTCAGTTTCAATGCAGTTCAGAAAGTACGAATGGTACTGGTGTGCAAGGTGGGCAAATACCTGAATTAATATTTTATGGGCCGCCAGTAGATGACTGACGGAAATTTATGACAGAGATAATGGTTTAAAATGGTGGTGTCCAAAAATATGTACCTTGAAATTATTCAAGGTTTTGTGTGATTATTGTTTTAAGTACTATTTTTAAATGAATGACTAAAGTTGTGTAACAGGTGCACTCTTAAATTTCAACATGCATTTTAAGTTTTGTATAATATATTTTAATGGGTACATTGTAAAAACAAGATATTACAAATAATTTCGTTTAATTTGCTTTTTTAAATCGTAATTTTAATTGTTAAATTATTAGAAGGGATATAACACGATTATTACATTGCTTAATTATTACTCTAGTCCAAAGGTTAATACCAAATTTTCAGCGTTCCGAGAATTTCAACACAAATAATTTCGTAAGAATATATTTTCTTAAAATAAAAATATATAAATGTGTAAATGCAAAAATTAATATTTGTTTTTATACTACCGTATTTTAAAAATACAATCTTATAAAACATTGTACTATTATGAGAATAAGAAATTATAAATTCTACTTAACATAAAACTGAAATTTAAATAAATAAAATAATACTTCTCTAGAAGAGTGCATCTTTTATCTTCTAAAAAATATTGAAATTTTGTTTGAAAAAAGGTTATTTTTTTTCACGTAACTTGAATACATGAAAAGTCATTTGTAAATATACAAGTAAAGTTATATAAAAATATTTGTTAGTATATCTTATGAAAATGAAAATGTAAAAATAATCTTTAAAATAATAGAAAACGAGAAAGTTATAAGTGCTATTTGAAAGAATTACTATCTTTAAAATTACTGTTGAATAATTATATTTTAAAAAAGTAAATGGAGATCATTAATTTAAACAACATTATTATGATTAACTAAGTCTTCAATTAAACACATGTATGATCAATACATTACAATCTTGTTTCGGATATAAGTAATTTAAACTCGAATCAATAATTCTTCAACTTATATTTTTAAAAAGCTTTATCGTTTTGTCAAGTAAAATATACTATTTCTGCTCCAAGTAAGATTAATTTTAAAGCATTCAACAGCTCTTAAACATTGTAAGTAATTTTGCAATGTATTATAATTGAAACTGCCTATTTAATACAATGCACATTTTATATCTCAATATTATCATTTATTATTTTATATTGTACCAGTGAGGAATAAGGTACATTTTGCTCATTTTTTTAAAACTTATTGCTTTTTTAAGGTAAATGTTAAAAATCACATGTAATCATAAATTACATAAATGGTACTAAATTATTTAAAAAGTCTACTGTTAAATTAATAAGAGTAAATTCATAAGGCAAAATACATTTTTGTACATATTATAAATATCATAATGATATTTCATACATATATTCTCTAACATTTAAATCATGTTTATATAATTTTATAATTTACTAAATTCTTGTAAAAGGCAAAATATATATGCTAGTATAATTTCAAAGATAAATAGGCATATACTAAATAAATGTAATTATTATATTTTCCTTTTTGTAATGGATATTATTATATTTAGAAAAGGTATAGAATCTGGCACCAAAGTTTACATTATGAAATAGTCAATACTGGTTAAAAAAGTACAACGGATTATATCAATATAATAATAAAATGTACAAAATAATGCCTTCCTATTACTAGTATGTTTATCTGGTGCCAAAAAAGGACAAATAAATTTTAAATGCATGTTCATTGTGAAATTTAGATTGGTATTAAAAATAAACTGAACATTAACCCAACAAATGGAATAGTCGGGTTAGTCAAATAAAATATGAAATGTTCATATACACTAGAATCTCGTAATATGATTCTGAACAAAACTTTAAGAGCAAACAAATTTTAAAATGGACTATGTAAGTGAAACTTCTTCCATACAAGAACACATCTACATACATATACAATGAACATTTCTTGACTTGAACTTTATGTTAAACTACAATTTAAAAATTATAGTAGAATATTTTCAATGATGTAGCGTAAAATACAATAAGCTGAAAATTTCCATACATGTAAGCAATAAGTGAACATGAATGTAAAAATTTCATTCAGAATATTAGTATTTTTATGTATTAAGCTAGAATTCTTTAAATACCATAATTATTGATGTCATATTAAAATAGAATAATTAGAATTTCAAACAGTATCTAGTATGATTGTTGATCAACTGGAAGCACAAATGCTGTATTTAATATTTAAAAACATATTAATTAGAAAACGGTATCCTCAACAAACTTTCTGATTTTATGTTCACTAATTTATCGATTAATGTAAGGACACGATTAATTAACATGAACATTTTTGTATGTAATTTCACCAAAAAATGAATGTAGTGATAGTTCTTTGTAACGAAAATAATTTGTTGTATAGAGAAGTCTATATATAAAGAATAAAGCAAATTAGTATGGTAATTTTTAAATTAATTTCCTTATTCCTGATTTTCATACATTATAATAATAATAATTTATTGTAATGTAATCAGTGCAATTTGCTTAATTTTTGAAATCCTATATACCACTGCCTAAATTACACTGGATTAGTATCATTTAATAAATTATCAGTATTACCAAGGTATTAATTATACTTAATATAATTTCCTGTTCTTATTAATTGTTGTAGATAAACCATAAATATGAAATATTTTTTATATCATGCAAATTTTGAACATGCAAACTGCTTACCCACTGAAGGTATGTTGATGCAAAGAGCTTGTGTAAACCGTAAATACGTGCGTCCCAATTCATGAACACAAATTTGAAGAACATCACTGATGTCAATAAGCATATCTAATTAATTAGTTAAGTATATATTTTTACTTTTTAACATTTTAAATTAAATGAAATAAAGCCAATTTTTTAAAACAATAAAGTATATCTTTCTATTTTGTGTAAATGTAAAGGATACGTGCAGTGCCTTCTGTACGACAAGTAATATAAACACAAGCTGCATGATTATGTGCTTGTTTTCGTCCACGAGTCAAATGTCGATTTAAGGCCATTTTATAAAAATTCATGGATGTATCAATACAATGTTGATTCAAACTAGCAACAAAAATATAATTATTTTATTAATTCTGTTATAAAAAAATAAATAATTTATCAAATATATATCACAAAGAAAAATTACATACTGTAACTGCATGCATAAATGAGTTATTCCTTTTCTTGCATTTTGTAATGTTATCCCTCTTGATTCTTTTCCATTGATGTGATATGCTATAAACAATAAAAATATAATTTTATATAAAATGTACTTCGTCAATAAAAAACAATATAGAATAATTATAAAATATCCTTGTTTATATCCTTTAAAATTACATACTTGCACCAAATTCTGTAGCTCCTCCGGTACTATCATTAGCAACAAACTGACCAAGTACCATCATATTTCCTGATGGTGTCTCTTTAAATGCTGTTTCGCTAACAATAAGTTGATCTTCCAAAACAAAACCACATTCTGTACAAACTGCATCTCCTCGAGCAGGATCTGTTTCGATCTCTGTGGATCCACAGTTTCGACACTTGCTTCCAGACATCTATTAAAAATGAATACATTTTTATATATAATAAGACAGCTTATGTGTGAGCTATATTTATAATCATCACTGTACTCAAAATATAGTAGAAGAAAATAATTAATATTTAACAAATAATCAATCACTTAATCTTTCTCTAAACATAATGTCGATACATTTATACTAAATATATACATTAAACACATCATTTTATCAGAATTATTCAAATTATTAAATTAATAATATTACAGACTAACTACTGTGCAGTGATGATTAATGTTTTACGCTTTCAAGTTACCTTTGTAATATTTTTTATGTCTACTGTCAAATATATCACTGAAATAATTATTGTGATACACAGTGTCTTACTATTTAAATTACTGTATTAAATAAATATGACACACAAACTAAGTAATGTTTTATTATACTTTATTTTATATAAAAATATGCAAAAACACTGTAACTGAAAGTTCGACTTTTCGCTATACAACAAAATAATTTTGGTAGGTTATGATAAAAACATACATCCCGACAAACATGATGTACAATGGTTAAGTCATAGATAAAAAAGAAATATGAGTGTCTATGTTCGACAATTAGTACTTCCTATTCAAGTGCTGCACCAAGTGGCTAATTTTAGTATCACTACAGAATCACTCCTATCTATGTTAAAATTGGTTCTCGTTCACACAGTGTTTTCGAGAGATCAAAGATGCCGCGAGTGTAGCTTCCGAATCTGCGCGCTACTTAAAAGTAGTTTAAGCCATGCTATCGGACCGACGAGTTAGTCTTTACAGCATTGAAGTGGAGGAAGGATCTCTGCGTTCCATTTAATCAACCTAAGTTCCATTTTTTAATATTAGACATATATTTAGTCACAACAATCGTACATTATAAATAGTTATTCAATTTATTCTTTTTATAAGTAACATTTTCTGTTTACTAATGTTCTAACTTTCACGTAAAAATATTATTAAATCGTGCAACAACAATAAATATGTTATTATAAATGCTTTTATTTTTCAGTTCCAAAATTGAATATACACACAGTCTGCCTCGATCTTCGACAAAGAATTAAGCCAATAAAGAGTTACATAAATTAAAAACTGTACAAAATATATTTGCAAATTGTATGTATTTATGAAGTTACAATAAATAAATAAAAGAAATCATGTACTTCTTTAAAATCCTTTCCATTACATTCTTAAACATAACAGACAATCAACAGGTTAGGTCAGGCTTACGGTTAGGTTATGTTCGGTTAGGTCAGGTTCCAAGGTTAGGTCGGATTATGTTAAGTCAGGCATACGGATAGGTTATATTATGTTAGGTCAGAGTCTAAGGTTAGGTCGGATTATATTAGGTCAGGCCTACGGTTAGGATATATTAGGATAGTCCAGGATGTAAGGTTCGCTCAGATCATGTTAGGTCAAGGACTAAGGTTAGGTTGTATCAGGCTAGGTCTGGAGATCTAACATATATCATTCCCCATGTTACTATTACTATTATCGTGGAACTATAATTATTATCCTTATTACTCTTATTATCATCAATTTAACCGATATCACTACCCATATTACTACCTTTACTATAGTAAAAACTATTATTATTATGCTTATTATTCGTATTATTATCAATATTATTACCCATATTACTACTTTTATCATCAGTATCCTTACTACTCTTATTTTTACCAATATTATTACGCATATTACTACTTTTATCATCATTATCCTTATTATTCCTATTATTATCAATATTATTACGCATATTACTACTTTTATCATCATTATCCGTATTATTCCTATTATTATCAATATTATTACGCAAATTACTACTTTTATCATCACTATCCTTATTATTCTTAATATTATCAATATTATTACGCATATTACTACTTTTATCATCATTATCCGTATTATTCCTATTATTATCATCCTTATTATTCCTATTATTATCAATACTATTACGCATATTACTACTTTTATTATCACTATCCTTATTATTCCTATTATTATCAATACTATTACGCATATTACTACTTTTATTATCACTATCCTTATTATTCCTATTATTATCAATACTATTACGCATATTACTACTTTTATTATCACTATCCTTATTATTCCTATTATTATCAATACTATTACGCATATTACTACTTTTATTATCACTATCCTTATTATTCCTATTATTATCAATACTATTACGCATATTACTACTTTTATTATCACTATCCTTATTATTCCTATTATTATCAATACTATTACGCATATTACTACTTTTATTATCACTATCCTTATTATTCCTATTATTATCAATACTATTACGCATATTACTACTTTTATTATCACTATCCTTATTATTCCTATTATTATCAATACTATTACGCATATTACTACTTTTATTATCACTATCCTTATTATTCCTATTATTATCAATACTATTACGCATATTACTACTTTTATTATCACTATCCTTATTATTCCTATTATTATCAATACTATTACGCATATTACTACTTTTATTATCACTATCCTTATTATTCCTATTATTATCAATACTATTACGCATATTACTACTTTTATTATCACTATCCTTATTATTCCTATTATTATCAATACTATTACGCATATTACTACTTTTATTATCACTATCCTTATTATTCCTATTATTATCAATACTATTACGCATATTACTACTTTTATTATCACTATCCTTATTATTCCTATTATTATCAATACTATTACGCATATTACTACTTTTATTATCACTATCCTTATTATTCCTATTATTATCAATACTATTACGCATATTACTACTTTTATTATCACTATCCTTATTATTCCTATTATTATCAATACTATTACGCATATTACTACTTTTATTATCACTATCCTTATTATTCCTATTATTATCAATACTATTACGCATATTACTACTTTTATTATCACTATCCTTATTATTCCTATTATTATCAATACTATTACGCATATTACTACTTTTATTATCACTATCCTTATTATTCCTATTATTATCAATACTATTACGCATATTACTACTTTTATTATCACTATCCTTATTATTCCTATTATTATCAATACTATTACGCATATTACTACTTTTATTATCACTATCCTTATTATTCCTATTATTATCAATACTATTACGCATATTACTACTTTTATTATCACTATCCTTATTATTCCTATTATTATCAATACTATTACGCATATTACTACTTTTATTATCACTATCCTTATTATTCCTATTATTATCAATACTATTACGCATATTACTACTTTTATTATCACTATCCTTATTATTCCTATTATTATCAATACTATTACGCATATTACTACTTTTATTATCACTATCCTTATTATTCCTATTATTATCAATACTATTACGCATATTACTACTTTTATTATCACTATCCTTATTATTCCTATTATTATCAATACTATTACGCATATTACTACTTTTATTATCACTATCCTTATTATTCCTATTATTATCAATACTATTACGCATATTACTACTTTTATTATCACTATCCTTATTATTCCTATTATTATCAATACTATTACGCATATTACTACTTTTATTATCACTATCCTTATTATTCCTATTATTATCAATACTATTACGCATATTACTACTTTTATTATCACTATCCTTATTATTCCTATTATTATCAATACTATTACGCATATTACTACTTTTATTATCACTATCCTTATTATTCCTATTATTATCAATACTATTACGCATATTACTACTTTTATTATCACTATCCTTATTATTCCTATTATTATCAATACTATTACGCATATTACTACTTTTATTATCACTATCCTTATTATTCCTATTATTATCAATACTATTACGCATATTACTACTTTTATTATCACTATCCTTATTATTCCTATTATTATCAATACTATTACGCATATTACTACTTTTATTATCACTATCCTTATTATTCCTATTATTATCAATACTATTACGCATATTACTACTTTTATTATCACTATCCTTATTATTCCTATTATTATCAATACTATTACGCATATTACTACTTTTATTATCACTATCCTTATTATTCCTATTATTATCAATACTATTACGCATATTACTACTTTTATTATCACTATCCTTATTATTCCTATTATTATCAATACTATTACGCATATTACTACTTTTATTATCACTATCCTTATTATTCCTATTATTATCAATACTATTACGCATATTACTACTTTTATTATCACTATCCTTATTATTCCTATTATTATCAATACTATTACGCATATTACTACTTTTATTATCACTATCCTTATTATTCCTATTATTATCAATACTATTACGCATATTACTACTTTTATTATCACTATCCTTATTATTCCTATTATTATCAATACTATTACGCATATTACTACTTTTATTATCACTATCCTTATTATTCCTATTATTATCAATACTATTACGCATATTACTACTTTTATTATCACTATCCTTATTATTCCTATTATTATCAATACTATTACGCATATTACTACTTTTATTATCACTATCCTTATTATTCCTATTATTATCAATACTATTACGCATATTACTACTTTTATTATCACTATCCTTATTATTCCTATTATTATCAATACTATTACGCATATTACTACTTTTATTATCACTATCCTTATTATTCCTATTATTATCAATACTATTACGCATATTACTACTTTTATTATCACTATCCTTATTATTCCTATTATTATCAATACTATTACGCATATTACTACTTTTATTATCACTATCCTTATTATTCCTATTATTATCAATACTATTACGCATATTACTACTTTTATTATCACTATCCTTATTATTCCTATTATTATCAATACTATTACGCATATTACTACTTTTATTATCACTATCCTTATTATTCCTATTATTATCAATACTATTACGCATATTACTACTTTTATTATCACTATCCTTATTATTCCTATTATATATATATATATATATATACTATATATAGTATATATACTATATACTTATTATGCCTTATTATTCCTAGAGCCTAGGGTTATGTTATATTAGGTTAGGTCAGTCCCCAAGGTTAGGTTATATTAGGTTA